GTTAGCTCTGGCCGCGGGCTTACGTTAGCTCTGGCCGCTGAAGACGAGCTTACGTTAGCCCTGGCCGCTGCAGACGGGCCAACGTTAGCCCTGGCCGCTGCAGACGAGCTTACGTTAGCCCTGGCCGCTGCAGACGGGCCAACGTTAGCCCTGGCCTCTGCAGACGGGCCAACGTTAGCTCTGGCCGCAGGCTTACGTTAGCCCTGGCCGCTGCAGACGAGCTTACGTTAGCCCTGGCCGCTACAGACGGACCAACGTTAGCTCTAGCGGTCTGCTAGTTTCCGTGGTCCTCTCAACATCTGAACTTTTAAATTACGCATTAAATCAATAAATGGGCCATATAGTGAAGCCTAGAGTATAATGTTCTTCCCTCGAATGATCTTAAAACGTACTTTTATAGAACAACAGCAACAGAAAACAGAACTTTTAACTTAATACTGGAAGCTGCTGCTGCCGCAGTGCATGCTGGGACAGCTGTTAGTCTGGAGAACGGACAGGTCTGCTCTGATGCATGATGGGTAAAGAGGGAGGGGCCAGAAAAACATCTGGGGACTTTGTCTGTTCTCGGTCTGCTGTTCTGGGTGATTGGAACAGAACTAATGATGGAATTAGGAGACTTTTTCATCCCTGAGGGATCCATGGTGATGCTATTTGATTAATGGAAAAACAGAAGATAATTAAAACAAGAGAGCTAGTCTATAAAACAGACATGGCTACGGCTTGATGCTAACACGTTTGCTAGCTGTCAGAATTCTGAGATTAAAGTCAGGATTCTGACCTTTTTCTCATATTATACTGAAATAAATCTTAAAAATCAGTTAATGTTTTTTTCAGTGGTTCTAATCCTCTTCTGTAATAGAGCTATGAAGCTATCATGGTTTTATTGCCTACATAGATACCAGGCAATAGAACCATGATACCATTTCATTGGAACATCGCCACTTTTTATTGTTTTTGCTAAACAGGAAAGATAGAATCCGATGCGGTCTGCAGCAATCCACAACGATGCCAGAACGGTTCAACGGGAAACTGGAGACACTTTTTTATTTCATAGATCAACAGAAGGTTAAAATATACTGATGGAATGCTTTGATCTTTAGCAGTAGGATGGAGTGGATGAAGGTAAAGCTAAAGGCTAACTAAGCTAACTATTCACATGCTTGTGGACAGTTGAAATGACGCAGGATGAAAACTTTCATCCATAATCTGACCAATAATCCATCATTTCCAGATAAATAATTTATTAAATCCAAAATCTTTACAAATGCATTTAAAATATCCTTTTCTACATTATTTATCCGTTTTCCTCACCAGCTGGGGAACAACCTTTGAGGAGTGTTGGCAAACGGCAGCAGATGTTATCTCAGAGCAGCAAAACATCTGGAATATTGGATATCAGGGATTGACCTTATAAAAAGACAACCTTCAAAAAGCTGCGGCGGCTCGCCGCCTCTGAGGCTGCTGCTCTTTACCGGTGGAAACGTACGTCAGCACATCGCCGCCAAACCAAAGTCACACAAACGGAGCTTTGCACTCTGGAAGAAAACGGAAGGTTGACTCTACGGCTGTCTGACCCGCGGGAACATCTGAGCCCCTCTATCAGCACTTAGACAATCGCCCTGAATCTCCACATGAAAACATCTGGAAGCTGATTAGATGCTGAGGTGGTAGCAGGCCTTTCCTCTATGGGCGCCGTTTGTAAAGTTAGGTGGTCAAAAATTTATATTTATGGTTATTAAGCGTCTTTTAAGAGAAAAATAAAGGCTTTATCTTTTTCAAATTCATTTTTTCACTGTGTCAGTTTTTCATTTATAAAAATTTGACTAAATTATTATTCTAACTGCATATTTATTATTTTAACTAAATATTAAATTCATTTTCCACACTAAATAGTTTGTAAAATAAATGGATTTGGATTTAAACATAAATTTAGTCTTTATGAGTTTCAAGAGGAACTTCATTTTACTTATATTGAGTGTTTATGTTCAAATGTCATTATTTCAAAATGTTACTGTTATTTCTATTAGTTTTTCACAATTTTTGTTCTGTTTTTCAGATTAAGTTTTAAAAATTGCATTCTTTAAGGAAGGAAGGAAGGAAGGAAGGAAGGAAGGAGCAGCTGTTCTGTGGATCCAGGAAGCATGGTGGCGTTGAGCTCCCATCATGCAGTGCAGGGTTACCTCTCCCAGGGCCTGCAGGGCCACGGTGGCGGCCATTGCCTTGGCGTGCTTCTTATTGGGGCTGGCGGTCTGCGGCTGGTAGTCCACGCCGTTCACCGTCACCTGGAGGCAGTGTAGCGTTAATAACTATGGAGGGAAATCTGCTCCATTATTATTGCAGCAGGAAAGAGTTTACAAATGGCTTTAAGAAAATAAAAGGAGAAACCGTTTTACTTATTGTTATTTCTGGTAGGGTATTTATTTTTTTTTCTCCCTTTTTAGGTTTTACAGATTTCTGTTTTTCAGAATGAGTTTTACAAATTGCATTATTTTCAAATTCCTGGATCAGATTCTCTTCAGAAAGACAAAAAGAGAAATATAAAAAAAAAAACAAACAGCAAATTTACCCTCAAACCTAGTTTTCATCAAAACAATTTTTAAGTCTTTCAAATTTCTAAAAAGACTAAATCTACTTTGAAATATAAACAATGGAAATAATACGGATTAGAACATTTTCATAAAAAAAAGTTAATTTAGAAATAAATTCTTTTTCTTTTTAAAATTGGATCTTATTTTCAAACCTTAAGACTAAATAGTGTTTTTTTCTTCCAATTAACTTTCCAATCAACTTAAGACTAAAAGAATTTATCTGAACTAATTTTTCAAGGATTCTTTCTAATAATTAATATTGATTAATCTCTTGAGCATTAAATAATCCAGATTAATCTCTAATATAGCCAACGCTAATAGAAATGGTCTAACGGACCTTGAAGAGGAAACTCTTGCGGTGATCTGGGCCGCTGTGGTTGACCATGACGAAGTCCGGCTGCACGATCCGTTTCTTGTTGCACAGCTCGATGAGAGCGGAGACCGGGTGCTTCCCTGCGCAACCATAAAGAGCAGACATCAGAGCAGTGCGGCGAGGAGGGGGCGGGGCGTTCGCACCCGTTTGATCAATAGTAGCTTTCTGTCAGACTGACAGCATCTTTGAGGTGAAAACATCAACAAGGCAACAGATAAACATAAAACTCACATAAAAATCAGTTTTTACTTTCTGGATATTTAGTTTTCTTTTATTTCCAGTTTTCTGTTCATTCTTTGTTTTAACCAGAAATATCTTTTCTCAGAGTTCCTGGTTCATCCAGATTAAATCTGCTGCTTTAATCTGCAGCTACCAGTTATTATATTCTCTCCAGGTTAGTAGGGGAATAGACTGAACTGGTTGAACTGGGAGGTCAAAAAGTGGAAGAAATGTGGATTTTTTTTCTCCCTGCAGATACAGAAAATTTGGCAGCATCCTTTTTTTTTATATATATATTTTTTATGTTAAATTCAAAATGTTTTTTATAATTCCTGCTCTAAGCGAGTTCATCTGTCTGCTAAAAGCCAGTTTTAGTCTCTACTACAATTTTTTTCCCACTTTTTTAGTTTTTACTAGTTTAATATTTTTTATTAATTGCATTCCATTCAAAATCCTGCATCAGATATAAAAAAAAGACTATTTTTAATCTGAAAAGAAATTGGAAAAATAATTAAAAAAAGAAAAGAAAAAATCTGAGAAAGCAGCAAAGTTACCTCCAAATATTTTTTCATTAAAAATATTAAAATTAATTAAAACGTTTAGTAAAAAAAAAGATAGAAAACTTCTAATCTGAAAAAAATTTGAAAAAAAAATTTACGATTAATCGACTTTTTGATTCCATCGATGTTTGAATTCTAGTTAGATTTAACGAGACAATTCCAGAGAAACTCAGAGGACGTTTTTTTGTGTTACGATGATAAAGCCTGTTTTAGAGTCTCTACAGTTGAGTTAACAGTTAATCGATTACTAAATCAGTTTACGATTATTTCAATTATCGATTAATCCGATAAATTGTTTCAGCGCTATTTGAGTGAGCGAGTTAAGAGTCGCGCTAACATCGGTGCGCTAACATCGCTAGGCTAAACCAAAACCACCCTTAGCTACGCATCAACGGTTGAATTCTACGTAGATTTAATGGAAACGCGACAATTCCT